AATCGATTAGATTATTCAAATTTCTACTACTTCAACAATGTTGATCTCATTGTCCATTTCTAAAGCTGCTACTTGAGTTGCCTTCTTCTTTCGCTTTGGTTTCGCCGCCGATTGAGCTTGGAGCAACTCGTGGTATTCGGCCGTGATAAACTTACCACTAACCGTCAACGTCTTCCTTGTCACATTTTTTCGCTTCTTCTCAGGTGGCAAAAGTAACAACTGGGTACAAACCAAATCGATACGTTGCAGCCACGATGCTTGCACTGCTTCGTCGTCCACTTCGGCAGGCTTAAAAATCGACAGCCGATACAGCATCTTGTCCAACGACGGGGGACACAACCCAGTGCACACAAAGCCGTTGGTAATTGCTGCTTGACTTGTATCGTGAGCCCAAACGTCACACGCGATCTTGATTGCGTTCTGCTTGCTGATGTTGGAGCTGACGTCAGTCCAACAGTGGTCAGCGATTTGGTTTCGGATGGCTTGTTTGAAAGGTCGGAAAACAGTCACATCCAGGGGCTGGAATAGATGGGTCGCGTTGGCTGGTAAGAATTGCAGCAAAATCCCCAATGACGTGGCAACGTCGTAAATGTACTTGGAGTAGTGTGACGAGCACCCGTCAACAATCAACAAAACTGGCCGCGCGACAGACGATGGGATACTCGCGCTGAGCATGGACATCCACTTAGGGCAAATGAACGAGTTTGTCCATCCTTTCTCCGACGTCGTAATGGCGGCTCCAGGAATCGTCAGACTGTCGCACGTTTCGGTAGACACCCGGTCTCCAGGGAGGACGAACAAGATAGGGATCTTGGTTCCCGCGGCAGACACGCACGCCACGATAGTCACATGCGCCGACGCCGTTGCTTCTTCGACGAAAACATCTTTCGATGTGCGTTGGACAACGACCTTTCTTGATGATTTCGTCGGTGAGAAGCTTGTCTCGTCCATATTGAAGACACGTGATGGATCCATGTCAACCAGCGAAATCGATTGCGACAGCTCCCGGTAGAAAGCCTCAACTGCCGACTTGTCTACCGCATTTCGCGGCTTGCTAAGGGTCTGGGCTTTCAGGGTCTTCAGATCAGGGTGTCGTTGGAGGAATCGTTTGTACCATCCGCTTGTTAAGTTCGTTCCGTTGGTTGTATCATGCACGACATCAAGAATGTTGTTTGCTTTCTGTACGATTTCAAGATAGCCGACAGGCTTCCCATCGCGCTCCATGCCGACAATCCAAGTAGCCAGATCTTCTTCGTACTGCCGCGGTATAATAGGTGCTCGACCGAACGATGTTGGTATTTCGATGACGCCGGGGTGAGCTTTTGCCAAAAGCTTCCGAAGCGTCCGCGATGGAATGCCATAGGCCTGGGCAGCAGTTGATGCCGTGTGTACTTTGCTTAACACATCGAGGACGGCCTTGTCCATGGTGACCTGCGTGTATGGCGTTCTTGGCGGCATTTCGTCGGTTCAAAATTTGAAAGAACCTTTAATATGTAATATTTTTTCCCTCCATTTATTCATGCAGGTTAAATTTGTCGAGAGGTTGCCTTTTGTCCAATCAGAGTTGATTGGCGTTTTAATTGGATGAAATAAGTTGGCCCATCAATGGTCGTTCGGCCCAACAATGGTCGGACACGTTACTTTTTCAGTTCGTTTCATTTGTGGGTGGACAAATCTGTAGCTGTCATCCAATGGATGACTGCCAAATATCTCGCAAAACAATTTTTCTTCCGGTTGAATCTGAGACATTTTTGAAATAGTACTACGCTCGCATTTTGTGAAGACGAAAACATCGTCTTCGCAAACATTGCATTTGCGAGCGAACCTCTCGCATCGACACTGTAAAATTTGATATGATCGAAATACATTTTCAAAGGCTTTGCCATCGTGCATAAATTTTCTCGCAATCTCACCGGGTAACGAAGGCAGGTCGAGCCAAGTCGTGGAGTGCCTCGATTGCCACCCATCGACGTCGGTTAAAAATACACGTTATCCGGACTCGCAAATTTGTTTGCGAGAGGCACTTGCGAGATATTTGGCAGTCACCCATTGACTTCTGTGGCTTGGTACTTAGTAAGAGAGAAATCGCCAATTTGGGCGAGGTTGCAGATTATATTGAGAAAAGTCGAATTTCTTGAATCCTTTGACCGGAGTAAGGGCCACAGTGCACATTCTTCTCCATGTATGAGGGTTTGTGATATTTGGTCGATCGCTAGTATAACTGATGACGTCGAGTACATAACATTGTGATGCACGGGGCCCCAGGCTTCTATTGTATTGCATCTTGTGCCGATTATGGTTATGCGGAGATTTACCACTCACACACCCATCATACATTCAATGGCACAGCCGCAGCAACCCTTTTAACATTATACATTGACAAAAGCACACAATATAGATATTTGCAGGATTCCAAATTTAAATGAGGGGAGGAGTACGCCAACTTTCTGAGTCGCGGACAACAATTTTGGAACAGAGGAAGTAGTAACTTGCAATTAACTCTGGTACTAGTATAATACTACCGTTAGTAAATGTACTGGTATAGTACCAACGTTAGTACTACAGTACATGCAGTATCCTATTCCTATTACGTGTGCATACTATATAACGTGTTCAAATATACCCGAAGTACGTGTTAAACTATAAAACGTTGACAGTTGGTAATACTACAGTAGCACTAGTACGTAGTGATTGGGTAGTGTATACAGTACTACTAGTAGTACTGTAGATGGAGGGCACCATACGACTACACAGATGTAACGAGTACTATTAATAGTACTCACTGATACCACAAGGGGAGGGAAAATAGCTCAGTGGTAGAGAATCGGTTTTACTCAAAAGTCGAGGGTTCGATCCTTCGATCCCCGGTTTCCCCGGATTATTTCCGCAAGGATTTATCCGTCTCATCCTGGGAATCCGGATAACAAGGGTGCGTACGAAGTCAAGTTCGGTCGAAGCACGAGGTACAGTACTCTGGAGTATGAAGCGTTGGTTGAGCGATGTAAAAACAGAAGATTACACACCCCTGGTTGAGCAGGCGCGTTACAATTGGCGAAGCGTTTCACAACATGTGGTTCTAGTATCGGCCCTCGCGGAGGAATGTCGTAAAAATGATAATCCAAGCTCAATTAACTCACTGGTACCACATGCTCGACTTCAATTTCTTATCGAGATGGATTCGTGGATGTACCTTGGTCAATGATATTTCTTATGGGAATCCAGTTGGTTGGGTCGAATGACTTGCCCGCCTGGTTTTCACTGACTGTGACAACTCCATTTTCCTTTTCGCTCTACGATGGTCAAAGTCTTTGTCTCCCTCAGCGCGTTGGCCACTGCCGCTACGGCTGGCTCCGTCACGCAGCTCCCCGAGTCTGTGACCAAGCTCATCGACTACTCCGCAAACCCCTGCGACGACTTTTACCAATATGCGTGTGGTTCGTGGTACAAGAATGCTGTGATTCCCCCGTACAGGACAAACACCGGTACGTCGACCTCCAAGATTTCCATCCAAAACGAAGCCGTGTTGAAGAAGATTTTGTCTGACAACAAGCCCAAGCTTGGCGAGTTTTACAACTCCTGTTTGGACACGGCTACGCTCTCGTCGCTTGGCCTGACTCCGTTGGCCGACTCGTTCAAAGCCATTCGATCGGCCAACACCACGTTGGACCTCCTCGTCGTGGCTGGTGAATTGGCCAAGAACGGCATCCCTGCCTTTGTTGACATCAAGGCCAGTGCCGATAAAAAAGACTCGACCAAGAACGCCCTCTTCGGTGTACAACCCCCCCTGTCGCTACATCGCTCGTACTACACCACCCCTTCCAAGTGGGAGATAATCGAAGCCGACTACAAGGTGTACATTGCGACGGTTTTGCAGTTGGCTGGATACACTGCCGAACAAGCGGCGGCTGCCGTGCCGGTGATCATCCGTTTCGAGCAAACTCTGGCGGGTGTCGCCCTCAGAAAGCTCGAAGAGATGGAGGCCGCCGTGTCTCCGTACACTGCGCTTACTTACTACCAACTGGACCAGAAGTATCCGCTGCTCATTGGCTCGTGGCTCAAGGGCAACGGCTTCAACGTCCGCGACGGATGCGGTGGGTCGAACGACTGGGTGGGTTTGACCGCCTTGACCTACTTTGAAAAGGCCGAAGCGTTGTTAACGAACACGACGTTGGACGACCTCCGCACCATCGTGGAGTACAAGCTCATCCACGCCTCTTCCACCCATCTGACCCCTGAATTCCGCACGGCCAACTGGAATTTCTTCGGCAAGAAGATCAATGGCGAAAAGGTGGAACCAACTCGTGAAAAGTTCTGCGTCGCAGAAGTGGATACAACAGTTGGGGAGCTCTTGGGCCAGTACTTCTTAGACGCGGTGTGGTCGGCTGACACGGCCAAGACGGCCGACGAACTGGTCAAGGCCTTGGAGTCGTCCTTCTCCACTAGCATTGCCACCGCCGACTGGTTGGACAACTCGACCCGCGCCAACGCACAAACGAAGTTGTCCAAGTTTGTGCACTTGTTGGGTGGCCCAGAGAAGCCACAGCTGTACCCCACGCTAACGTTGGACTCGAAGACGTATCTGAACAACCGTTGGAAGGTGTCTCAAGTGAACATCGACACCAACTTGAAGTTGGCCGGCCAACCTGTGGACAAGCGCAAGTTCAGCATTCCCCCTCAGACAGTCAATGCGTACTACATCCCCAAGGAGAACCAAATTCTGTTCACGGCCGGTTTTTTGCAAAACCCGTTCTTTGACAACCAGTTTGACGCTGCCCAGAACTTTGGTGCCATCGGGGTTGTCATCGGACACGAAATTTCCCACGGGTTCGACAACCGCGGCCGCTATTACGATGGCGACGGCAAGTTCAACCCATGGTGGTCGATTGACACCATCACTGCATTCAAGAAGAAGGCCCAGTGCATTATCGACCAGTACGCCAAGTTTGTCGTCAAGAGCGAAGTGACTGGCGCTGAGTTGGGCAACGTCAATGGCACGCTCACTTTGAGTGAAACCATTGCCGACAACGGGGGGCTCAAGACCAGTTTTCGCGCATACCACGAGTACTTGAAGAAGTTCCCGTCGCAGTACACCGAAGAAGCTGGCGACAAGTTGTTCTACTTGTCGTTCGCCCAAGCCAGGTGCTCCAAGTACACGGATACCCACCTCAACTTTCTATTGAAGAAGGCTCACCCGCCCGGTCGGTTCCGCGTGACGGGGGCGTTGCAAAACAACGCTGAGTTTGCCCGTGTGTTCAAATGCCCCACCGACTCGAACTTGAACCCGTCCAAGAAGTGCTTGTTGTGGGAATAGGGTTGACGGATACGAAAATATGTAGCGTTGTGTATTCGTAAAGAAAAAGTAAGAAATGGTGTCTTGGTTGAAGAGTGTTGTTTTCAGTGTGTGCTGTGCACACAAAAACTACTATGTACGAGTATGTGGGAGTAATCGCCTTCCGGGAATGACATTCTACGAATTAATCCATTCGAGTGAAGAAACCCTTCTTGTGCTGCGCTTGGTAGTTGCCATGTCGGGCGACCTCTTTAAATGAATGTTTTGTCCACCGTGTGAGTTGACTCTGTGGAATTTTGGTTTTGTCCATACATCCCTCTGACCACCAACCATGTCGACGCCACCTAAGCGCCGCAACTTCACCGAAGAGGAAGACATTATGCTTCTTCGCCAAGTCTCCGCCGACATGCCCTTCCTTGCCCGACGCGGACTCATCATGGACAAATGAGCGGCCATTGTGGAAACTCTAGCGGCGAAGACTTTGGTCGCCCCGACTTCGACGCGAAGAAGGCCAACAATCGGTTCACTGCTCTCGCGGAGGCACACCGCAAGAGCAATCGCGTGTCGGCACGTGCTTCTGGCATTTCAGAAGACGTCATGGAGAAGGTGGCCCTGCTCGATGACATACTCTCCGCACACGACGACGCAAAGGAAGAAGAGTCGCAGCGAATCGCAGACGCCAAGATATCACAAGAGCACACCGACAACCTGGGCAGTGTTGTGCGCGAGGAGGCGATGCAGTCGTTGGGAAAGTGGAAGCATGATGTCGACGACAATGGTGCTTCTCGGGGTGGTGGTGGTAAGATGCTAAAAGTGATGACGATGATGCACGAGCAAGTTCAATCCGAACTTGAATTTCAACGCGAGAAGCATGAAAACGAAATCAAGGAACGTTAAAAGGATTGCGAGTTGCTTGCGCAACAAATTTGGAACCAACAAGAGTCAATGCGTATTCAACAGGAGTCAATGGTAGCTTTGATAAAATTGCTAATGAACAAGCAGTAGATTTTTTTTGTTAAACTTCTACAATTTCCAACATGTTCAGGTAATCTTTCAACGTAGGTGGCTCGAGGTCAAAGTACTGGCTGATTTGGTTGCCACGAAAATGGCAGCAGTGACAATTCGTGAGCAGCATGGCAATGCACACAATCTTGGCCACAGGTGACAGTCGGATCTTGGACAGGATCTTGAATGTAATAAATGACCACAAAGTCTTGAAAATCTTGAAGTTCCATTCCACGGACTGGCGAACACGACTCATCCACTTGTTGAAGTCGCGTTTGAGGACGCCAACATCATTCCCTTTGTATCCGGACAGAAGGTACTCCACAATTCCGTACGCTGGGTCACCGTAAATATACTTGGAAAAAAATACTTCTCGATTGTTCTGGAAGAACTCAAGCAGCTTACTCTCCCGCAGCATTGTCGCGTCGTGGCGACGGCCCTCCACCGGCCCAAAGAAATGCACGCAAATGCCATCGGGCATGTCACTGCCTGGTAATTCAAGCAGTGAATGCGCTTGTGTCCACTATAGATTTGCTTCTGCCGGTTGTTGCCGTCTCCGACCGACTCAATACGACACGTTTGTATCTTCGTCCCATCAATGAAACCGTAAACGTTAGGCAAGGGCGAACCCTTTCGAGCCACAGCCGCACAGTATCTATAGCAAAATCATGAAATCCAAACAAGATAAATTTATTAATTACCGGTCAATGTTCTTGACAACCAAGGATTTGTTGAAATACAATACACGGCCCCATAGGTTGTAGAGCAAGTTGACGACATGAAGGAATACATCGCAAATTGACGATCGCGATCTTCCAAACGTTCGTGACATGTCGTGGAGGCGTGTAGGGAACGCAAGTCGCCCCAGCAGTATGCACATTGCTTCGTCTCGGAGGACTCGGTTCTGGCTTGCAGTCACGAGCACAGCAGGAAGACCGAGATGGTAGCCGAGCTGGCGGATGCCAGCAATGTCGAAACGGTAGTCCAAGATGGCATTTGCGTTGGACAAACCAAGTAGGTTAAACCGAATATTCGGTATCAACGGCCTTTCCACGGCCTGAGATGCCAAGAGGGCAAGAAGGAACCGTCGTTGCCGAGTTGACCGTGTCATGGACATGAGCATGACCACATCGGACTGCCTGATGGACATGAGCAATTGAGCACTGCTTTTATGTGTGAGCGTAAGGATTTTCCGGTATATTTAACCGGAGAAATGGCTGGTCACGGACTGGATTCACCAAAACCGTTTTCTTTTCAGTTCCAGTCACGGTCTGTTGAACGACAAATGTCAAAATAATGTGATCTGGACAGGGAGTGGAATTGCACCAAAACCTCTCTATTCATGAAGATGCACGAATTTTCGAATCTATTCAAAATTTGCGACCTTTGAGCGAGGATATCGCCGCTAATAGTAAGTAACCCATCCGCTTTTGATTTGAATGGATCTTGTTAGACCGCACTATCAGCATACCTCTATACAGGTATATAAATTCTTTGAAATGTAGATGGATGAAGGCTGTTGAATCTGACATCCTAACTAAACACGCATTCAGAGCAAAACGATGAATTCGTTGTTTTGATCTCCCAATAATTGGTTCAAATCAGCATTCCATGAGAATTGCAACATGGATCTCTGAACCCTGTGCTGCGAAGAATATGCTGGCGCAATATCGTCAATCAAACTTCTGTACCTACAAGGACATTGGGGATCTACAACTGGTATTCGCCAAAATTGGAATTCATCTAGTACAGGAGTTCGAAATTCTCTGTATTAATACTTCAAGTAGTAAATAGTACTACAGGGAACTTCAGAATGCAAGAACTACCGAAGTATTGAACATTACAGCCTTAGTTTTGTCCAATCAAACAATTTCGTTGAAATTCTTGGTTTTGATTCGATATATTTTTATTATCCCGCCCGCGCGCAATTGAATAATTTCAACCAATACTATTCAAAGGCGCGCATCATGTACCCGATAGCCTTCAAGCTCTGCCCCTTACCTCCAAACTCAACGTCGATGGGCCAGCCCACTGACGTCGGCGTGATGGCACCCTTCAAGCGGTACCTACGGGAACTGTGGTTGTTTGAAGACATCGTCACAGGAGAAGACGAGGACCATTTTCACTCACCGCCCGGCAGAAGAGGTTGGCGTTAATCAAGAGAGCTGTCGCTGCTTGGGAGATGGTGTCCACCGACGCTATCCGTGGCAGCTTTGAAAAGGCACTTCCTCAGGAACCAATGGATTATTCGTTTATATATTATCTGTTGTGAAAGTTCAGTATACTTGGAATTTGTATGTTTTTTAATAAAATTTAGAAAACGTTTGACACTCCATGGGAATTGAACCCGGGGCCTTTCTCAATACTAGTAATGTTATGCTGTCGCACTAAACCGTTGCGCCACTGCGTCAAACGCTTACGCTACTTCCGTGTTTACCATATAAATCATTGTACAATATTATACCAATAGTTTTAATACCACTCTATTTTTGAATGACCTCCTGAATTACAAGTTTGATTTCTTACAGTCAAACATGATTGTAAATTTGACTCATAATTAAATTTCCTCTATAATTTTAATAGCATTTTCAAAGATCTGAATATTATTTTGATGGGCCAATGTTATTGGCAGAAATATACACCGTACTTCGAAGTACATTTACCAATCAAAATCTGTTATTTCCATCCCACTCGAAGATAAGGTAGGCCTTGCATTCTGAAGTTCCCTGTAGTACTCGTTTACGAATGGATATTTCGGGCGTTGCGAATATTTCTCCGGTTAAACTATACTACGTAGTACTTACATATTAACACTTCGTTTGCGAATGAAAAAAATTCGTAAACGGCAATTATCTATTTGACATACACTCGAATGAACTATAGTTCTGAAATGTTTGCAAGATACTACTGGTAGCGTTTACGAGTATTTGCGAATCATGGATTATCCGGATTATTGAAACGGTTTGTGTGGTCGTTGGTATGCGAACATGCAACCTTACTTCGATACGAAACGAGTTCTACATCTCACTCGAACTTATTCCGTTGGCACAACGAGGGGACTGTTGAATTTGGCGCACCTCACAGTCGTAAATATCAATCAATGGTGTAGCATATCGAAGTACTTTGTCGCGGATCACGACAAAGTACTTCGACATTGCTCACTTCCCGTAGTACGCTGTCCTCTTTGCCTGTTTATGATCCGTTTCCTCAGCAATAATAGGCTATCTCCAGAAACTACTGTAGCACGACAATTACCGGTTGGTTGTGCGACCACGGGCAACGACTTGTTCGTTGACAAAGTCAGATCGAAGAGCAATACTTTCATTTAACGTTACCATTTTCATGCAACATTTTGTGTGCGAGGCATGCCGCAGCATGTCCTCTATATTGCTTCCATATATGGAGTTGTTTCTAACGCTGGTGCTGCATCCGATCACCCAGGAAAATTTGTCGACTGACCACTCACCATCCATCATAATTTGAATGAGATCTCAGGTAGCTTTGGTGGGTTTATCCAAGAGGTAAGACATCGCCGTTGTATTTACACAGCATCGTGCGAATTCGGTCGGCACGTGCTTGTTGTCACTGGTTGCTTTTGGTTTGATCAGGTAGTATCGATGGTCTGCATGATGCGCCCACCCGTCCGCATGACCACCCACATCGACTCAAGCGGCTTGATACGCTATGGTTGGTCCTGCGAACGGGAGGTGAGATTTGGATATTGGTACAGTAGGTGCGGCATGCTACCCCATCATATTAGCAGGCGTGTTAGCGACCGTTGCCTGTGCTGTCGAGTCCAAGTGTCGTAACAATTCTCTCAAAGTACATTTATTACCACGAAGTGCTTGATAAAGGGATTCGCATTTCATTCGTAACGTGCTCAGTAATGGTAAATATTATTTTGAAAGGCCCTGGCCACAACGCTGCCATAGAAGAGACGCTATAGCCGCTGCAGCATGGGCATGTTCACGCCATCGACACACGCTAGGTCGGCCTGTTTACGCTCCCGTCGTTACCCAGACGGAAACGTTCGCGCGTTCAACAGTGACCACCACCATCATATATTTGACGGTAGTGGAATTTGCTCCGACTTATTGGGCAACTTCAACTACTTGCACAAATCCGCCTCTAGGTTTAGTGGATAGACACTTGCTCCAAACTTTACGATCTCGATGATCTACTTGCAGCCGTGTTTTGCCGACCCCGATGGCATGATCGCCAGTGAATGCACGGACTTCTGACACATCTTTGAGCGGTTTGACTCGCAGCACAGACTTGATCTTCTCAGGGTTCGGGAGTATGCCAGCCGGCGTGATGATGTGTCCCAGGAATGGGACAGACGAGCGACCCCACTTGCATTTGGACATCTTGAGCTTGAAGCCTGCTTCTCAGAACTTGGGGGAGTCGGACGAGATGACGATGCAGTCGTCCAGGTAAACGAGGCATGCCCGCCACTTGTAGTCAATCAAGATGTGCTCCATGGGATGCTCGAAGCATGGGACTGCGTTACACATGCCGAATGGCATGACGAGCCATTCGTAAAGTCCATACTTGCAGGTAAATGCAGTCTTCTCGATACTTCCTTGGGACATCGGGACATTCCAATATCTAGACGCGATGTCCATAGTCGATACGCGGCATCGGGTACGAGTTTTTTACTCTGACGCTGTTGAGTTTGCGGTAGTCAATGCAAAAACGGATCAATCCGTCCGGCATCCTGATCATGAGGACGGGACTGGCCCATGGGCTCTTGGACGGTCGGATTAGACCGAGGTCTAGGTACGGGTTCAGTTCCGCCTCCATGATTTCGCCTTCTGCCTTTGACGTGCGGTAAGGAGCGGATCGGATCGGTTGCGCGTCGCCCGCGGCGATACTGAACTCGATTAGATGTGTCTTTCCAGGGGCTTTGGACGTGTCGACAAATATGTCGGCGAACTTCGCCAAGGTCGCTCGTAGTAGTTCTCGTTGGTCAATGCTGAGAGTAGAGTCGGACCAGTCGATGGGTAGTTCCTTCGCTGGACTGGTCGTCGTTTGTACTGGGCAGACGATATTGGGGGCCCCAATTTGAGTGAGGACCCTCCCGGGTACTCCATTCAGTGGCGAGTCAAACGCGTCCGGCTGCAGGCGAGACGAATGGGGTAGCGACAAAGAATTTTGAGTATGTTCGGAGTACGTCGGGGGTAGCGCCATCCAAGTTCCAAGATGTGTGTTGGCTTGTAGCGTGAGCGGTTCATGCGAAGTTCGACTAGGATCGTGTTGGACGACGTTTTGCAGTATAACGCCGCTGCAATCTGTGCTTGCGCGTTCGTTCGGGGTTCCACGAGAAACGTAGTGGACAAGGGGAGATCAAGTCCGGCCAAGCACGGGAGATGTCGAACGGATCGAGGCGGGACGGTAATAGTTTCGGCCACCATCGTGAGCCCGACTGGGTGTGAAGTAGGTACGGAGCCGTCCAGAGGCTCGAGAGACAGAATTCGCTGTCCGTCTGACAGTGTCAGGGTATTGTCCTTGAGGTTGATGATAACCCCCAAGTAACGGAGCAAGTCGAGGCCGACGATGTCTGTCAGCGACGTAGACATGACACAAAAGGGAAATGACACATTGGCGCCAGTGAGGTGAAACGAGAATTTTGCGCGGCCCAAAATGTCGAGATTCGAGTTGTCTGCAGTGACAAAGCCCAGACGAGGTTGTTTGAGTGGGGGCTGGCAGAGACGATGCCAAAATGACGCGCTGATGAAACTACTGGTTGCTCCAGTGTCAATAGAACCGTTGACTGTTGACTGTATTCGGTCGATGTACGCTTTGACGAAAGGGTTCGTCGCCGTCTGTGTCCTCGTGTCAGACACCGCGATGCGCGCGACAAGGCGAGATGAAGGTGTACAGTCGTTGAACAGGTCGTCACAATATGTCGAGTCTAGTTATGACGAGCGACGATGGTAGTTTCGGATCCCCTGTAAATGAATGCGTTTTCGAGCCACTTTGGACTAGGAGGACTTGTCCGATGGGTAGTCGAGTGGTAGTTCGTTCCAGGAAGCGATAGATGATTTGGACGCGATTGTTGGACGTGAGATCTGAGTCGTCCAATTAGTCGGTGTGCGTGTCAGCGGAGTTCAAGCCTTTGGAATCGTTGGCGAAGGTGAGTTATCAAGC